GTCACACACACAAGCAGGATGGAAGCCCACCTAAGGGTGGTGGGTGCTGGAGGGGTCACCTGGGACATCCCACCACCCCTCAAAGTTGGGGGGGTTGGGGGGGGTGATGGAGCACCCCCTTTCCCATTTTGGGGAGGGGGGGGATGGATGGAAACCCTGGAAAGACCCCCCCCGGGTGGTGGGGACACCTCCAAGGGGGTGGAGACCCTGCAGGAACCCCCCCTTGGATGGTGGAGACACCTCCAGGGGGGTGAAGACCTTGCAAAGACCCCCCCAGGGTGGTAGAGACCCTGTCCCAAGGTGGTGGGGGTCCTGGAAGACCCCCCCCCGGGTGGTGGGGACATCTCCAGGGTGGTGGACACCCTGCAGGAACCCCCTCTGAGATGGTGAGGACACCTCCAGGGGGGTGGGGGTCTTGGAAAGACCCCCCCGGGTGGTGGGGACACAACAGAGACATCTCCAGGGTGGTGGAGACCCTGCAGGAACCCCCCATGGGGTGGTGAGGACACCTCTAGGATGGTGGAGACCCTGTCCCAGGGTGGTGGGCGCCCTGAAAGACCCCCCCCCGGGGTGGTGGGGACACCTCCAAGGGGGTGGAGACCCTGCAGGAACCCCCCCTTGGATGGTGAAGACACCTCCAGGGGGGTGGAGACCCTGTCCCAGGGTGGTGGGCGCCCTGAAAGACCCCCCCCCGGGGTGGTGGGGACACCTCCAAGGGGGTGGAGACCCTGCAGGAACCCCCCCTTGGATGGTGAAGACACCTCCAGGGGGGTGGAGACCCTGTCCCAGGGTGGTGGGCGCCCTGAAAGACCCCCCCAGGTCAACAGGGACGCAGCTGAGATGTCTCCAGGGTGGTGGAGAACCTTGGAAAGACCCCCCTGAGATGGTGGGGACACAACAGAGACATCTCCAAGGTGGTGGAGACCCTGCAGGAACCCCCCATGGGATGGTGGAGACCTTGTCCCAGGGTGGTGGGCACCCTGAAAGACCCCCCCCAGGGCAACGGGGACGCAGCTGAGATGTCTCCAGGGTGGTGGAGACCTTGGAAAGACCCCCCCCAAGGGTGACAAGGACACGGCAGCCATGGCGTGGACACCTCTAAGGTGACCAAGGTGCCACCAAGACTCCCCAAGGGAGCGGGCACCTCTAGGGTGAAGGAGAAGCCCCAGGGACCTCCCCTGGGAGGATGGAGACCCCCCAGAGATGTCTCCACCTCAACAGAAACGACACGGGGACCTTCCTGGGGTGAGCGAGACCAGGGATGGACATCTCCAAAGTGATGGAGATGCTGGATGAATCCCCTTGGGAGGATGGGGATGAGGGAGAGAGACACCTCTAAGGTGATGGAGACACCACGGGGACCTTCCCCGGGGGCTGGAGATCAGGCACGGTCATCTCCAAAGGAGGGGAGATGCCCCATGGGATGGTGTGGGTTGGGGACGGCAATGTCTCCACTCTAAGGCAGTGGAGAAGACAAAGGGACCTTCCCAGGTAGGACGGCAGTTGAGCAGGAACATCTCCAAAGCGAGGGAGATGCTGCGTAAAGCCCCATGGGAAAAGGGGGCTTGGGGACAGACCCCTCTGAGGTGGTGGAGACACCACAGGAACCTCAACCGGGTGGTGGGATCTGAGCAGGAACATCTCCAGAAGGACAGAGATGCTGCATGAAGCCTCCCTAGGACAACAGAGTTTGGGGACAGACCTCTCTAAGGTGGTGGAGACACCACAGGAACCTTCCCCGGGTGGTGGGATCTGAGCAGGAACATCTCCAGAAGGATGGAGACACCACATGAAGCCCCATGAGATGATGGGGACTGGGGACAGACCCCTCTAAGGTGGTGGAGACACCACAGGAACCTCGCCAGGGGGTGGGATCTGGGCAGGAACATCTCCAGATGGATGGAGATACCACATGAAGCCCCCCTGGGACAACAGGGTTTGGGAACAGACCCCTCCAAAGTGATGGAGCCACCACAGGAACCTCAACCGGGTGGTGAGATCTGGGCAGGAACATCTCCAGAAGGACGGAGACGCCTCATGAAGCCCCATGAGATGATGGGGACTGGGGACAGACCCCTCTAAGGTGGTGGAGACACCACAGGAACATCACCTGGATGGTGGGATCTGGGCAGGAACATCTCCAGAAAGATAGAGACGCCTCATGAAACCCCATGAGATGATGGGGATGGGGGAGAGACCCCTCTCAAGCGTCCGGGACGCCACCGGAACCATGGAGACCCATCACGAACCCCTCTGAGATGCCAGCCCCACGTCACGGCTGACACCCCCCATGGTCCCACCATCAACGCCGCCCTTCAACCTTCTCCAACTCTTGGGGCCAACACAAAAAGAAACGAGAGGGTGGAAAAACAAAGCCCAAAACCCCCCCCAAAATCCCATCCCACCACCCGGGGAAGAGGCGGGGGGAGGTGCCTGGTTGGTTTTTGGGGGGGGTGGGGG